TACATTATTTTGTAGCTACTTGGGGCATCAGTTAGTCTAGAGTCCACATGGCAAGCAACCTCAAGAGATGATTACTTAGCTGAAGGAGGGAAGTGGGACATGACTGCTTTCTCATTGAAAGGGGCATCGCATTCCTCGGATTAAAAGGTTTTTGCGCAATTTATATTACAATATAGATGTACCCAGAATTTATTTATCTTTTGCTTTTTCCTGCTGTGTATTGTTTTTAAATCATTATGTAATCTAAGGGTAGCATTATGTTTTCTAAACCTAACGCTTGCTCAGCACATAAGTGTTAATGTATTCCTTTCCTTTTTTTTTTTTTTTTTTTTTTTTCCTATTTTGGGATTATTGCCTCTGGAAGCTATGTCTTTATTTCTGTCTCTGGTTGATAAGAGGAAAAGCAGGAAGAGGATGGCCCTCCTAGGCAGTAGCCTTTCCCTGAGATGGCCCTGATGACTCCAGTATAATCAGTCCATCCCCCTCCCTTTTCTGTTCTCTTCAGCAAAATCCTTTATTTATTTATTTTATATATAGATATGTATATGTATATATATGTGTGTGTGTGTGTGTGTGTGTGTGTGTGTGTGTATATATATATTTTTTTTTGAGATAGGATCTCGCTCTGTCACCCAGGCTGGAATGCAGTGGTACGATCATGGCTCCTTGCAGCCTCCTCCTCCCAGGTTTTAGCAATCCTCCCACCTCAGCCTCCTAAGTAGCTGGGACTACAGGCATGCTCTACCACACCTGGTTGAGATATATATATATATATTTTTTGGAGAGACAGAGTTTTGCCATGTTGCCCAGGATGCAAAATCCTTTGGAATGGCTTGCATCTATGAGTGGATACAGATTTCCCCTCTCTCTTTGGATGTTTACCTGAGAAGCCCCTGGTAGTCCTGAGTGGCTTCCTATCCTGATTTATAATCTCAAATGATCCAAGAAACCGAGTGTCTTGGGGGAGTGAGATCGAAGTGCCCCTTCTGTCTTTTCTCTACTTTTTAAAAACATTGAGCCACCTATCTCTGTGGATGAGATCTGAGATATCCAATGGAGTTGGGAGATGAAAGCAACAGCAGCAGGGGATGAAACAGAGAAGTTCTCACCAGCCCTGGAAGCACAGAGCTTTATAAGGTGCTATGGAGGACTCTCTGAGAAAGGAGGGCTGCCTGACACCAAGAGAGAAGAGAGGAAATTATGAGTGGTCCCTGACTTACAATGGTTCGATTTCTAAGTCTTTACTTTCCAATGGTGTGCAAGTGATACATTCAGCAGAAACCATACTTCAGGTACGCATACAACCATTCTTTCACTTTCAGTACAGTATTCAATAAATTACAGGAGATATCCAATAATTTTTTTATCAAGTAGTCTTTGTGTCAATGATTTTGCCCAACTCTAGGCTAATTTAAGTTTTGAGCATATTTAAGGTAGGCTAGGCTAAGCTATGATGTTCAGTAGGTTAGGTATGTTAAATGCATTTTTGACTCACAATATTTTCAATTTAGGATGGGTTTACTGGGACATAACCTCGTCACAAGCTGAGAAGCATCTGTGTTGCTGTAATTCAACAACACATTGAACAGTGGGGACAGCGCCACCCACCCAAGCTGTAGCCCACCGGACCCCTCAACTTGTCTTTATTACTGAGGCTGGAACAGAGTGATATGCACTCAGCACCAAACGAGATCTCCATTCTATCAGCAGGAGTTCTTCTTCAAATCAAAATCACTCCGAAGTACACTGAGAAGTAGCCAATCCACATGGCCCAGTAACTTCAGATCCCTGGCAATGATAGTTTAATTATCCTCCTTTTGCTGGAATCGTGGATAGGAAGTGGTATCCTGGGGTGTGTTACTGATATTGGGACAGGATCCACACTATAGGATGGAGAGTTTGGCGTAAGCACAAAGTAGTGCTCATCTTGCCAGCAGGATATAAAGCCCTCTCTATTGGTGGAGCCAATTGGGATAGCAAATTAGTGAGCCAGCAGCAGTTAAGAAAAACATCTCCTGGGAACTTTCTACCCATTTTAAATGATTCATTCTCATCACCAGTTGTGTTGTAAATGGTGGAGTAAGTATCACTCACTGGTGGGATCTTTGGGGATCATTCCAACACAGTTGCAGAAATCATACTCCGAGAGGCATATAAAATTAAATGATTTATTTTACTCATAGTTCCTAGAAGGTGAAGCATGACATGCCACACAGGGAACCATTTAGAAGGAGCTCCTAGAGAAAGGGCTCAACTTAGCAGGTGGGGAGATGAGACTGGGTGGACCCCTGGGAAAATGCCTTTATTAGGAGTCACAGTAAAGTACACAAGCAAATGGCATGAGGGAATTTCACTGGTGTGTTTGAATATCACTAGGTTACAGTAGTGGAGGGCAAGAACTAGTGGCAGGGACCAGCCTTATCACATTGGCACTTCGTTGCCTGGGCAGGGTACTCACACCCTATTTGTGGGGACATCAAGGCATGAGAAAAATATGGAGTTCTAAAATTGTACACCACAACCAAAAATATTTATTTCTTTAGACAACTTTGAGATATTATATTGCATCCTTTCATTTCAACCTAAAGGACTCCCTTTAAGATTTCTTGTAGGGCAGGTCTAGAGGAGATGAACTCTGTCAGCTTTTGTGTATCCATGAATATCTTAATTTATCCCGTATTTTTAAATGATGGTCTTATCAGGTATAGAAATCTTAGTTGATGGCTTTTTTTTTTTTCTTTCAGAACTTTAAACATAACATCCCACTGCCTCTGGCCTCCAATGCTTCTGATAAGAACTCAGCCAACAATCTTACTGAGGATCTCTTGTATGTGAGGAATGGCTTCTCTCTTGCTGCTTTCAAGACTCTTTGTTTCATTTTAGCTTTCAATAGTTGGGTTATAATATATCTTAGTGTGGATCTCTGAGTTTATCTTACTTGGCGTTTGTTCAGCATCTTATATTTGTAGATTCACATATTTAATCAACTTTGGGAGGACTTGGGATATTATTTCTTCAAATAACCATCTTCTTCCTCTCTGTGTCTCTTCCTCTTCTCTTATTCTCATAATGTGTATGTTCATCCACTTAGTGGTATCCCATAAGTCCCTCAGGTTCTGTTCCTTTTTCTTTATTCTTTTTTGTCTTTCTATCCTGGAGACTCAATAATTTCATTTCAAGTTTTCTGATTCTTTCTTCCTCCTGCTAAAATCTATTATGAAACTCCTCTAGTGAATGTTTCATTATCATGACTTTCAGTTCTTATACTTCTGTTTGGTTCTTTTTAAATATTTTTTATCTCTTGGCTGATGTTCTCATTTTGTTAATATATCTTATCCTAATTTCCTTTAGATTTTGTCCATGTTTTCCTTTAGCTATTTGAGCATTTTTGAGATGGAATCTTGCTCTTGTTGCCCAGGCTGGAATGCAATGGTATGATCTTGGCTCACTGCAACCTCTGCCTCCCGGGTTCAAGTGATTCTCCTGCCTCAGCCTCCTTAGTAGCTGGCATTACAGGCACCTGTCACAATGCCCAGCTAATTTTTTGTGTTTTTAGTAGAGATGGGGTTTCACGACATTGGCCAGGCTGGTCTTGAACTCCTGACCTCAGGCAATCCACCCACCTCAGCCTCCCAAAATGCTGGGATTACAGGCACGAGCCACTGCACCCAGCTCCCTTTGAGCATTTTAAGACAGTTGTTTTAAAGTCTTGGTCTAGTATCAGGATGGGACCAATATATTACAAGAGTCCTTATGAGTAGGAGGCAGGAGAGCAAGAATTAAAGAAAGACATGTGATAATGAAAGCAAGAGGTTGGAGTGATGGAAAGATGAAACTGTGAGAAAAGGAATGTGAACAACCTCTAGAACTGGACAGGTAAGAGACAGAGACCCAAAACTATTATCTCTGCTGACACCTGTTTAGATTGTATATATTTAAAAGTGCTTTGAGATATATATAGAGAGAGGTACTGTTATAGTCAAGCAAGTGAACATAACCATCATCTCAAATAGTTGCCTTGGTTTGTGTGTATGCCAAGTGCATCTAAAATCTTATCTTTTAGTAAAAATTGTGAGAACAATTCAATATTATTAACTAGGGTCTTCATGTTGTACATGACATCTGTAGAGTTTTTCATCCTATCTGCAATTTTGTATCTTTCGACATACATCTCTCCATAACCTTCCCCAACCCTACTCCAGGAAACCAAAGTTTTATTCTCCACCTTTGCGTATTTGAGTTCTTCTCTTTTTTCTTGGTTATAGCTCAACAATTCCAATTTTGTACTTGTGACCCCCAGAAGTATACAATAATACATTTCTATTGTTGTAGTACATAAATTTAGTAGTAATTTGTCACAGCATCATTAGGAAACTAATGTAATGTGATTATGCTATGGATAAAAAATTTCAGGCCTTAAAAAATGTTTTATTCTTATTTAAGCCATATATTCATTGTGTGTTGAGAGTTCTGTCTTTCATAGTCACTCAGGAATCCAAATCGAGGAAGTAGCTTCCATCAGAGCCCTGTAGGTCTTTGCGGAAGGGAGCAGTTGATACACAGAGGCTCTTGCCGTTAAATGCACAGACCACAAATTATACCCATCAGTTCTGCTCAGAACTCAGTGGTCTAAAGAAGTCACATCACCCCACCCAACGGAATGATTCAGAAAAAGCAACACTCCATTTGGCCAGAAAGTAGAGACATAAATATTTGGCAAAGCATGAAATTTCCAAGGACGGTTTAGGAGTTCTACTCAGGTCTTCAACCTCATACTCCACCATTAAACTGGACCTCACTGTGCCACAGTGTCCTCACTTGTAATACAGTCTCATGTTACAGGCTTGTTGTGAGGGTTAAATGAGATAATACATGCAGTGTGCTGGGCTCAAGGCCCACTCCTGGGGTGTACTCAGTCAATGAAAGTCATTGATAAACACTTTAGAAAACATAACCACCACATAAGGATGAATAAATGACTGTTTTGTGTTTCCCTCCAGGAGTGGCAGGTGAGGAGGAGCTGCAGGTGATTCAGCCTGAGAAGTCAGTGTCGGTCACAGCTGGAGGTTCGACCACTCTGTCACCTCCCAGTTGCCCACAGATTGTTCAAAGGAACTGAAACAGGGCAGGAACTGATCTACAGTTCAAAAGGAGGCCACTCACCCTGGATAGCTTGCATTTCAGACATCACGAAGGGAAACAATACAGACTTTTCCATGTGCATCACTAGCATCGCAAAAGCCAACGCTGGCACCTACTACTGTGTGATGTTCTGGAAAGGGAGTCCTGACATAGAGTTGAAGTCTGCATCAGGCACTGAGCTGTCTATGCATGGTGAGTACAGTGTGGGCCTCCTTCATCCCCCAGTGTGTGACAATAAGTCAATAGTAACACCTTCCATCCATTGAGCAACAATCGGGTGTGGTGGTGGGTGCTCATTTTCATGATCTGATGTCACACCCTTCTACAGATCAGTTAAGTTAAGGCCTGAAGCATTATACTATTCACCCAGGCACCCATGGCCTGAAAATGGTGGGTAAAGTCTGCAACACTTGTGTGCCTTCTCCACAACTTGTCTCTTCTCATCTGACCCAGTCTTTGGCTTCCACAGATGAGGGAACCGAAAGATTGAGTGACTTGCCAAGGCACAAGGCCAGACCTTGCCTTCTGCCTTCAAAGAGTGTTTCCTCCCTCTGGGTGGCCAAGTCTCCTTTTTATGTAACTAGTACTCACTGAAAACTTACTATGTGCCAGGCTCTGCCCTGGTTGCTGTGCAAGCTGCGATGAACAAAACAGGGAAAAACTCTTCTCTCACAAACCTTACCCTCTCTTTCCTTCCAATAAGAAGGAATTTGTTAAGGGTGGGAGAGGAATTGTGTTTTTCTTAGTTTAATCTTCAAAAAACATCACATTGGGAAGATTCCTGAGAGGCACGGATTCATTGTTTAATCTGATGGCCCTGGTGGGCATAGATGCCACGAGCTTTGGTGTTTGTGGGTCTGTTAGAGAAACTCTTGTGTGATTCAGGGATTGAGTTACACAGGTACTGTAGGCTCCAGTCAGAGCTGGATCATCTCAGAATATCCCTCACTCTGGGAAAGAGGCCCCCCATGTGAGTGACTTAGAGGTTCCCCAGTGGAGTTAGCAAAGATGCTCACTTTGAGTTTCCTGCCAAAGATACAGATTCACAGTCTAACTCCTGATCCTGGGATGTTAGCACAGGAGGGATCTTCAGACCAGTCAGCCTAACCCCCTGTTGACAGATGAGAGCCTGAGGCCAGGAGGTGACATAGGTCTTGCCCACAGTCACAGGGCCAGTTAGTGATGGGATCCAAATTAGAGCTCTGATCTGATTCCAGGCAGATTCTTCTTGCCCTGGTGCTAGACATCATCTCCATAGAAGAGCCTGGTGCATCCTAGGTGCTAAATAAATGTTCCTTGAACAGAACCACTCAGAGGGAGCCAGCACTTCCCCTTTTCGTCACCTTCCCAAGGTTCAGAATACCCCTGGCATCCAGACCCTGAGCCTGACTGGAAAACAGTAAGCATTTTATTTTATTTTATTTTTATTTTGAGATGGATCTCCTTCTGTCACCTAGGCTGCAGTGCATGGGCACCATTTCAGCTCACTGCAACCTCTGCCTCCCGGATTCAAGTGATTCTCCTGCCTCAGCCTCCTGAGTTGCTGGGACTACAGGTGCCTGCCACTGCATCTGGCTATTATTTGTATTTTTAGTAGAGACAAGGTTTCACCATGTTGGCCAGGTTGGTCACGAACTCCTGACCTCAGGTGATCCACCCACCTGGGCCTCCCAAAGTGCTGGGATTACAGGTATGAGGCAATGTACCTGACCTATTTCATTTTATATAAAGATTCTATATCAGGACATAGACAGCTGCTCTACTGTTTAATACCTGTAGAGTACTCCAACTTATGGAGCTATCAAACTTTATTTTACAGTCTTCTGTTAATGGATATGTAAGTTGTTCCCAACCTTGGGCTACTAAAACAACGCTGCAGTGGGTGGCCTTGTACATGCATCATCCTGCTCAAGTGGAAGACACCCACTGGAAGTGGCATTGCTAGGTCAGAGGGTATGTGTGTTTTAAGGTGTGTAGCTATTGCTAATGTGTTCTTCTTGATGTTGTAATAATCAGCACCCCCCCGCCCCGCATCCCTTGAACATAGGTAGGGAAGGTGGTTTTACCCTGATTTTGCAGATATTACAAAGACACTGAAGTTCCCTGATGGTTCATATTGTGCCTAGGTAAGCACCCTTATCAAGGCTCAGGAGTAACTCAGATGTGCTGACTCCTAGTAGAGTGCTCATTCCTCTTTTCCAAGCCATTAACCTAAAAGATGCCCTGGATGAGATTGGAGAAAAGTGAGGAGGGGATCAAAGAGTGGCAGCTGTCCCAGATGCTGTGTCTTCATCTGGCATTTTCTCCTTATAACCAGTGCTATGAGAGAGGGATCATTTGCTGCCTCATTTATAGATGAGGACACAGGTTTAGAGAGGGGATCTGACTTGTGAGCAGGTAGAGGAGCCAAGGTTTGACCCTCAAGAGCCTGACACACAGCCCTTCTCTCTGCAACACCCAGTTGTGCTTGCTGAAGTGTAGGGAAATGCTTCAACCTTCTCGTTCTAAACTGTTGTGTTGTTCTGTTCTATATCAATAAACATTAAAAAGAAAAAGCCTTCTTCTTGTATGGGTAGGAGAGGCTGGCTTGACAACCCCCATCAGAAAGATCCTGCAGGCATTATATCTTACGTTGAACCTGTCCTAAAAGATATGTCTTAGCATTTAGGACTCTTCTTACATGTGCTGTTTCTCCTTCATTGAGCAGCATCCATGGAGCTGAGTCTAGCCTCCTGCTTTTCAGCAGACCACACTGAAACCACGTTTGCAAAATTATGAGAGACAGTGAAAGAGATCTAACTCAACTGACTCCATCTTGCTTCTAACCTCCAAGCTGTCCTTGTTCATTCCTGGACATAGGCTGAACTAACTTTGGGAGAAACTTAGTTTAAACAAAGGCGGTAACAGCCCTTTCCCAAGCAGACCTTCTTACCTGGAGACCAGAATGCCTTTGTAGGACCAACATTAGCAACAAGATGAGAAATTACGGTTTAGGAGTCATGCAACTGGAGGCTACAAGATTCTGACCCTCCCTAAACTGCTCCTAAGATCAGTGCTTGAGATATTTGGCAGACCCTGAACTTGATGGATCAGTAGCACCACCCAGATAAAAAAACAAAACAAAAACTGGCTCATCTGATCTTATGGCCCCCCACCCAGGAACTGACTCAGCTCAAGAAGACAGTTTTGACTCCCTATGATTTCATCCCTGACCAATCAGAACTCCCGGCTCACTGGTTTCTCCTTACCCACCAACTTATCCTTAAAAACTCTGCTCCCCGAATGCTCGGAGAGACTGATTTGGATAATACTAAAGCTCTCGTCTCCTGCACAGCCAGCATTGCGTGAATTACTCTTTCAAGCAGTTCCCTGGTCTTAATAAATCGATTCTGTCTAGGCAGTGGGCAAGGTGAACCCCTTGGGCAGTTACAAAGTGCCCACCCACTCATGGCACTGAAGACTAAGGATGTGGGAACGAGACATTTCTTAGAGTTCTTGTGTTCCGTGTGAACTAGAGTTTACATTCTCTTCTTGGGCTGTTAGGAACCCAGGGTCTTCTGTTTATGGCTACAGAGTAACCACAGGGAGCCCAGGGGGAGAACTACACAGTAACCAGCCCTGGGCAGCCAGGAGGGAGGCTTCTCCCTTGAATTGCATGAAGCCAAGAATCTCAAACGGACAAGGGAGGTGGCAGTCAGTGTTGGGGATGTTGAAGTTCTAGTGCTTACTCTTTGATGAACAGGAAAGCTTGGCAAAACACAGGAAATGCCCAAGTCACGCATGGGGGATGAGGAGACAATGCCTTCGTTTCTCTTAGCCTCAGTTTTCTCATCTGTAAAATCATGACAATCTTGGACTCCTTTAGGAGAGTAGAAAGGACTTAAGGTTCTCTCTGTAAGTCACCTAGCATATTGTAGGCCAAATCATGTGTTATTTCAAGGCTGTGTGATCTCAAGCAATCCAGTTCCCTTTGCTGAGCCTGTTTCTTCATATGTAGGGTGTAATTATACCAACCATTCCAAGATGTTAAGAGGATACAGCAAGCCTGGGGAGAGAATAGACTTCAGTAAATGATGGGGTTGTTTCCCAAGGTTGTGTGATCTTGGTAAAGTCTTGGCTACCCTCGAGTCCTCAGTTTTCCCATTTGTAAAATGGTGATGATCATGGCCACCATTATGGACTCTGTGGGGATTGGAGAGGATGTGCACAGAGTTCTGGATGGTGGTGGTGTTAGGGTTATTACTGAGTGTCAGTAGCACAGTGGTTAGGAGAGCATGGGTTGGAGCCCCACCACTTGTGCCACATCTTAGCTCTGCCATTTCCCAGCTCTGTGATCTGGGACAAGGCACTCTGCCGTCGTGAGCCTTGGTATCCTTACCAGTCAATTGTAACTCAACTTGGGAATATTTTCTCCAACTCTACGTGCTGTTTGTTTACTCTGCTGATTACTTATTTTGCTCTTCAGAAGCTTTTTAATTAGGTCCCATTTATTCATTTTTGTTTTTGTTGAATTTGCTTTTGGGGTCTTAATCATGAATTTTTTAATGAGGCTGATGCCTAGAAGAGGTTTTCCAACCTTGTCTTCCAGAATTTTTATAGTTCCAGGTTTATATTTAACTCGTTGATTCATCTTGAATTGATTTTTGTATGAAGTGAGAGATAGGAATCCAGTTTCATTCTTCTACATATAGCTTGCCAGTTTTCCCTGCACCACTTATTAAATAGGGTGTTCATTCCCCAGCTTATATGTTTGCATGTTTTGTTGAAGATCAATTGGCTGCATGTATTGGGCTCTATTACTTGGTTCTTTATTCTGTTCCATTGGTCTATGTGCCTACTTTTATACTAGTCCCATGTTATTTTGGTAACTATAGCCTTGTATAATTTGAGGTCTGGTAATGTGATGCCTTCAGATTTGTTCTTT